GATGGGGCACTATTCCTCCCAATGACACTAATGATGGGGCACGATTCTTCCCACTGACACCAAGGATGGGGCACTATTCCTCCCACTGACATCAATGATGGGGCACTATTTTGCTCCATAAGACACACTTGGGGGGAAATGTCTGTGCGTCTTATGGAACGGCTGGTCCAGTATTGCCTCCGCCATTGTATGTCCGCAGTCTCTGGTCATCACCTGTACTATGTCTGCAGTCTCTGGTCATCTCCTGTACTGTGTCCGCAGTCTCTGGTCATTTCCTGTACTATGTCCGCAGTCTCTGGTCATCTCCTGTACTGTGTCTGCAATCTCTGGTCATCTCCTGTACTGTGTCTGCAGTCTCTGGTCATTTCCTGTACTGTGTCTGCAGTCTCTGGTCAATTCCTGTACTATGTCTGCAGTCTCTGGTCATCTCCTGTACTATGTCCACAGTCTCTGGTCATCTCCTGTACTGTGTCCGCATTTGTTCATAGTTTTTTTTTTTTTTAAACTATAGTCCGTCCCTCCAACGGTCTGAGGGACAGTGAACTGGCCCCCTGTTTAAAAAGTTTGAGGACCCCAGCCTTAAAGCATGTCTTTGGAGTGTGGGAGGAAACCTGCGCAGACACAGGGAGATCATGCAAACTCCAGGCAGATGGTGCTGTGCTTGGGATTCAAACCAACAACCCTAGTACTGCCAGGTGGAAGTGCTAACCATTTAGCCACTGTGCTGCCCCATAACCTATGCCCTAGAAAGCCTGAATATTCTCCTTAGATTTTGGGCCCCTCTGTGGTTGGTTATGAAATGTCTCTTGCATGTAAGAGTACCAGAATGTGTTTTGGGGTGCATTGCTAAGTATGCCTATGATGTGTGTTAACAAAATCTTATTAATTGACAACTTTTTCATTTTCTTTCCTGCATTCCAAAAGCTTGTGGCAAAATGTCTTTTTCAAAAGACTCACCATGCCTTTTAGAAAATTTACTGGAGTGTTTGCTTTAAAAATGTTCTCATTTTGTGGGTGTTTTCCATTGTCCTGGTGTTCAAAAACATTATAGGTAGTCAAGAAATTGGATATGGAAATGTATGCCTCTTGAATGCCTGAAGCGCGTTCCTTGACTTGTGGACCCCCCTATGCATATAGGTAGTGAAAAAGTCTCACATATACTCAGGAGGCATAGCAGAATGAGTTTTGGGGTGTAATTGTAAGTTTACCCATGTGTGTGTGGAAAAAAACATGCCTCTTAATAAATACATTGGGCTGTTTGTTTTCTTATTGATTTGGGTTATTTTTAGCCAGAAAAGGTAGCAGAATACATTTTGGATGACATTTTTGTAGACAAATTATGTAAAAAAAAAAAACAATCATTTTTAGTTTTTTTTTCATTTATATAGCAAAAAAAATACAAGTAAATAAATACAACAAAAAGAAAGTTATATCTGTCTAAAAAAACTGATAAAATTTTATTTTGGGTACAGTGTTGCATGTCTGAGTAATTGGCATTCAAAGAGTGAGAGCGCTGAAAGCTGAAATTTGGCCTGGACTGGAAAGGGGTGAAAGTGTTCAGACTTGATGTGGTTAATAGTCCTTAGATGAGGTGAATGAATTTGTTTTCTTTTTTAGACTTTTTTAGTATATTTTCATCCGGTAATCCACACTTCCTATACATACTTCCTGTCATACGACGAAACATGTAGAGCGATAAACTCTGGGCTTGATAGCGCTACACTTGTCCTCTGAGAAGTGCAATTTTAAATGTTTTTTTACCTAATAAATATGGTGTTACGCTATGGAAGTTTCCCTTTGATGTTTTTTACGATGGTGGAAGAGTACTGTGGAGGTTTTGGAGGAGTTTTTTCACAAAAGATTGATTGAGAGGTGTTTCCACTATGGAGTCTGTCATCAGCGTATAGAGGTGTCAAGACCACACAGATGACCAACTTTCCTGCAGGAGAGCGCTGCAACATCTTATGTAAATATTTTACCTACCATTCCAGGTAGTCAATTATCTGTGGTGAGTGGAGCTCTGGAGGGGGAGCATTAATTGGAGCACTAAGCACAAATAATTGCTATGGATAAGAAGATTTACTACTGTATCACTTAATATTCACACCGGATGCGGATGGGGGTTTCTTTGGGACCAAACTTTTTTTGTTGGAACTTTAAATTTTTCTTTACTTTTATATGTTTGCACAATTATTGGGACTTTAATATTAATATCTATATATATGTGTATATATTGTTTTATACTTCACCTCCGCAACATCTCCAAGATACGCCCGTTCCTAACCTCGGAAACCACTAAGCAACTTATTCACTCCCTTGTTATATCTCGCATTAACTATTGTCACTCCATCTTCATTGGCCTACCTCATCGCAGGCTATCCCCTCTTCAGTCTGTCATGAATGCTGCTGCCAGACTCATCCACCTTACTAACCGTTCTGTATTTGCCACCCCTCTCTGTCAATCCCTCCACTGGCTTCCCATTGCCCGACAGATAACATTCAAAACACTAACAATAACATATAAAGCCATTTATAACTCTGCCCCAAATTACATCACCGATCTTGTCTCTAAATATCACCCAAACTGTACTCTCCACTCCTCGCAAGACCTCCTACTCTCTAGCTCCCTTGTCTCCTCCTCCCATGCTCATCTCCAGGACTTCTCCAGAGCTTCCCCCATCCTCTGGAACTCTATACCCCAATTTATCAGACTATCGCCTACTCTGCTCACTATCTATCCTGCCCTCAGCTAATACTGGAATCTTCTACTCTTCCAACTAGTCCATCCCCCACAGTTACTACCTTTTGTACCACTAGCCCCTCCCTCCTAGATTGTAAGCTCCAAGGAGCAGGGCCCTTCTTTCCCTCTTGTATTGAACTGTATTGTTGCTGTATTGTCTCCCACTATATTGTAAAGTGCTGAGCAAACTGTTGGCGCTATATAAATCCTGTATTATAATAATAATTATACAATTTCACTGTATACACAGTTTCATGGCCTTGTATATGTGCTATTTTTAGCACTGTTGTTGTTTAAGCACCTTGTATTTACTTATTGGTTTGGAAGGATATAATTGCCAGCTCACGGGGCATTATAGCACATGCACATTTGTAGGGACCCTTTGTGTAGTATGGAGTTAATTTATTTATTTAATTCGTTATTTAAAGTAGTTTTTTGGGAGAGGTAGTGCAGCACTTTTTTATGTTTGCATTCACATATTTGTTCACCGGTACACATTTGTGATTTTGCTAGCAGCAGCCAGTCTAATTGATCAGTCCTCTGCGCAGGTTATACTCAAACACATCCTTATGTTAAACTAAACATATATTAATTGCACTAACAAATGCAAACATTGCTGCATTTAGAAAACTTCATTTGCAGTTTTAAATTAATAAAGTAAGCTGGTGTCCTCAATTAAGGATTGAGGGTAATGCCATACAAATCATGGATCTCTGTAGACAACTCTTTTGATGAAATGATGGTGTATAGCAAAGAAAAAAATTGAGACATTTATTCAATTAGCATATAACCATGCAGGTATGGCTGCCACCCATTTAGATTGTATGACTGATGTAAGGTTCTTTAATAATATACAAAGTGTCTGAACTGTATGTCAATAGCACTGACAGCAGCTGCCGTATAAAGGAATTATGAAAAAATGGATTCTTATAATGCTAATGAAAATTTGTCTTTGTCTGGTCATGTCATAACCGAATTACACTGATTTAACCACATCAGCAACCCACCTGTTACCTCTATTCACTATGCATGCTACAACACCCCTGGTTCAGTTTCCATTTCTTCTATATACAGTTGTGTTTCAATCATTACCTCTCTTGTGTAAGATAGAAACTATGTTTCTGTGGAGTAGGGCTTAGGAAGAAACAGGATAATACAGCATTTCTGAAAGGACAAACAGCAGAAATCGAAGATATATCCACAGTAGGGATAGGGAACTGCAGGTTTTTCCCATATGTCACTTTTAGACATTACAAAATTGTAGAAGGCTTCAATTCACACTCCTAACTGCTACTGTTTGCCTAAAACGTGCATGCGAATTCTATTGACTGTCTGTTATATGAGGAGTGGGAGATTCTGCTTGCTACTGTCAGTTGATTCCTTTGTCTCATTCACATGGGCATACTTAAGCATATACCCATAAGAGGGCCATGTTTTGCCCTCAGTTTTGAGTCCCAATCCACCTAAATGGGACTGACTGCCTACATGTGGATGCATGGAACACCTGTGCATCCTGTGCAGGCAAAACATAGCCCTCTCATGGGTGCACCCTTAAGTACACTCATGTGAATGAGGCCTAATAAGTAGTAGTTAGAAAATTTGTATAAGTTTGGTTCTCAAACAGTTTTGCTCACAGTTTTGAAATCTTGCTCAAGTTTCAAAACTTTGATTGAATCCCATTGAAATCTGTGTGTGTGTGTGTGTGTGTGTGTGTGTCTTTTTATTTAGATGTGGCCATTAAAAGAGATAAGATGCAAGCTTTCATCAAACAAAAGACACATGAAGTAGTCCAGCACCGACTTGGGGGACATGTACTAATAGCAAAATAAAAATACATAAGTAACAGTATTTAGTCCTACATGGAATAGTCAGCTTCCCCTTCCCACAACACACTGATAGTATGGTTGCTGTGAGTCCATCATCTTAGGGAAAGGGGACATTGTGAGTTACTGTAGGTTTATTTGCACAGCATCTATGATAGCAGCAAACTCAACCCTCATCCCCAGTATTAGGAGGAAAGCTGTGGGGGACAGCAGTGAGCCAACTTCACGAGTAGAAAATAATCTTGGGGTGTGTTGTATTTAACCACTTCCCGACCGCCCTATAGCAGATATACTGCTACAGGGTGGCACGGGTGTATATACATGATTTTGCATTTCCGGGTAGGTGGCGTGCGCACACCTTACCTGTGCCACCATTTGCGGCCGCGGCTGTCAATCACCGAGTCCCAGCTGGTGATTACCCGCCGGCGCCTGGTGATTGCTGAGCATCTCCGATGTAAATAAAATAGTTATCCTCTCTGTCAGCTCTTGCGCACTGCTGTGGATGGCTGTGAACAGCACAGCCATGCAAAGCAGTGTGGTTACAGTGAAGCACAAACACATGGCCTCATAGTAAAACACACCTAGCACACAGTTAACCCTTTGATCACCCCAGATGTTAACCCCTTCCTGCCCAGTGCCATTAGTAAAGAGTCAGTGGTTTTTATTAGCACTGATCACTGTATTGGTGTCATTGGGGATGTCAGTGACACCAAGTCAGTTCCGCCCAGTGACAGAATGCCCGACGCAGTCCTACAGTCCCACTATAAGTCGCTTATCGCCGCCATTACTAGTAAAAATTAAAAAAGAAATAAATTCCAGCATCTATACCGCCATTTGTAAAAGCTATAACTGTCACGTAAACCAATTAATTTACACATATTGGGTTTTTGTTTAGAAATGACGTAGCAGAATACATTTTGCCCTAAATTTATGATGAAATTAGATTTTTAAAAATTTTTACTGGACATGTTTAATAGCAAAAAGGCAAAAATATTGTTTTTTTTCTCATAATTGTCGGTCTTTTTTTTTTATAGTGCAAAAAATAAAAAATGCACAGACAATCAAATACCACCAAAAAAAAGCCCAATTCATGGGAAAGAAAGGATAAAGAAATTTAATTTGGGTGCAGCATTGCATGACTGCAGAATTGTCAGTTAAAGTAACACAGCCCCCGTAATGCAAAAAAATGGCCTGCTCAGGAAGAGGGTAAATCCTCAGGAGGGCAAGTGGTTAAAGAATTTACAGAACTCAGTGTTTAGCAACATTATAATCTTTTAGGCAGTTACAGAAAATCATATCTGGCTACTGATTGAAATGAAAGTGAAATTGTTTGTATGATTTAATTAAAAACTGATGAGTGTAACAATTATGTATGTTTTAATAAATCTTTTTAACAAGTGGACTTTCTAGTAAAAAGAACTTCAAACCCACCACTAATAATTTGCTGGTGAAAAACAAGTTATCATTTTAGTTGCAATTTTCTGTATGAATAAACCAACCATAGAATTTTAAATGAGGTTATAATCATGTTTATGCAAGTAAGTAGTTATTTTGTAAATTGTGTACACAATTAGGGTTTTAAAATCACGATAGTTTATTGTAATGTAAAAATTGTGTATTTGTTTCACAATTTGCTTTCTCAATGACAGCTCCAATGTTTGATGTGCAGTAATAAACTACTCCATATAATTACTCATACTGTGTTATCCGCTTTTACTGTAATGTGTTTTTTATTCAATTAGAAAAACCTAGTTATTAAAATATCTTTAGAAGGTTTGTCTACACTGGAGATGTATATGCTGCAACTTGCAAATGTTTTGACTTTGTAGATTGTCTACCAGATTTCAGATTGAAGAGCAGAGCAAGATTCCCATGATTAGAGCATATACACAAACAAACTGTAGTGCCCAATGCAACACATCTCTGCAAAGATCCCCTCTTTTAAACAGGACATTTACTTGTATTATTGGTCCTAACCTGGTAGAATTTTCTGCAATGTGGATAATTTATCAAAGAAATAGAACATGTTCACTTAGCTTAGAGAATATGGTACAGCTGTGTTCGCAACATCCAGGTATGTGCAAGTATATATCCTGTTTTCTATATGTCCCTTGCATATGACTGGGCACTGAACTCATCTTCATTTTATTTATATTTATTTTGTAAAGTGAACATGTACTTTCCAATGTGAGTATTCACTTTGCTAAGTACAAAAAATGTATTTCTTTTGCAAATCAATCCCAATGAGTGACTAAGCTAATTTAAGATAATTGTATTTCTACTTTTGATGGGAAAAGGTGTGGCCACTAAATACTCACTAAAAAGCAACCTCTTTGCTAATGCCACATATAGACATAGGCCTACTGTGCCAAGTTGTGAATCAAGCTCTGAGAACAGTTGCCTTCCGACTTTATTTTCCATTGTTATAGGTTGCAATGTTGGTATTTGTGTAGGCCACCTTAGATTTTACTTTAACTGTATTACTGTTGAAAATAATTGTTGGTAATAAGCCTCTGGCTTGAAAAGAATAGATGATGAATAGCATAACTATATAATATTTGTTTTCATTTTTTTTAAAACTGAGTTAAAGGTAAAAATGTTTTACCACTTGTTGTACCCCACCCCAAACAATTACCCAAACAAAAGTCCTCTTTTGATCCAAAGTTGTGCTCAGCTGCAGCTCCTCTCTCCCCTCTTTCTAGACTCTTCTCTCTCTCCACTCTTTCTAGACTCTTCCTAGTGTCAGAGAAGACTCAAGCAGGAGCTTTTGTCTGTCAGTCAAATCCTGTGAGGAGGGAGGGGTGTGTGGCCAAGCCACACTGCGTGTGCCTATGGAGGCACACAGCCCAGTTAGGGAGCAAACCTGCATGTGTGAGTTAATAGCACATGGCTTGCTATGTGGGCACATGCAGAAGAGGAGTAGAGCTCCAGTGGAGAACTTCAGAAAATGAAGTAAGGGTCCACTTCCACTTAAGAAATGCCCATTTTTTTAAAAGTAAAAGACTGAGAAGACCAGCGAAGACTGAGATTAAGCTCTGAAGTCACTTTTGCAGCAGTTGTTTTCTTATTCTGGGTCATAGTCCTGCCCAACATCCTATTGGCTCTTTTCAGCCAGTTGACTGCATTGCCCATATGCTTAACAGACAACATTTTCCCAAAAACTGTAAATTCCATCATAACCTTCGATACTGTACCTCACAACATGGCAAATAAATTGGCAGCTTCAGTCACAGAGGCACCAGCTAAGCGGGCACCAACAATTTTCCCTTTTTGAAACTCTGACATGACTCTATGCAGCGAATGACGAAAGTGAGGCTTCCCACATGTTAGCTGGGTGTCTCATCACACAGCAGATGCAGAGAAATGTTACATCACTTCCACTTTCAATGTGAAACATGTTGTTACTTTCACACCTGCAAATCATGTTTCCATTTTTGTCTAAACCCTGTATTTGCTGGCTACTAGGTGGCTTCACCAGATTCACCAAATAAGACACAAGCTGGTTCACTCAGAATCTGGTGCACCTGTGTATGGTAGCCAATCAGCTTCTAACCTCAGCTTGTTCAATTAAGCTTTAGTAATAAAACCTTGAAGCTGATTGGTTTCTATGCAGAAGTCTATGAGATTCTGAGTGAACTGGCTTTAGTAAATACACCCCAACATGTTTTGAAGAACAGGTGAAAGGAGACAATTCCATCAAGATACAGAAAAAAACAGGTATAATTATTTAAAGAATCTAGTTTTGATATTTGAGATGTTATTCATTCCTGGAATTGGTTATTGGTTGGATCAAATCAGTAGTGGTTTGGGTAGAATCACCAGAGGAATAGGGCACTCTCAGTTTTGAAAGTGTATGTTCACTTTGCAAAGTGAGTGTTCACTAATTTAGTGAATGAGGTAAAGTTGCATTCACTTAAATCATCCAGTCTATCTGTCAACTTGTACAAGCAGAAATCCCGATTTTTTACAATTTTGTAAATGATGGGTATTTCAATTGAAAACAGTGTGCACACACTGTTTTAAAAAAAAAAGTGAACACACATTATGCAAAGTGAAAAAATTCTTCTACTTTGGCTATTCAACACCAACAAACAATATCTCTTTGCTCTCGCTCCTTGTGCAGACTACTCTACTCTAGTAATTTGTGTTTTACTAAAATATTAACTTTGCATAACCCTTATGAAAAGAGTATCAGAATTGTCTGTAGAATGTAAAGAGTGACGGCAGAGTCCTCACAATTATTTTTATTGGAAAAAAGTGGTAATCTTGATTTAATAATTCAATGGTAAATTGCTGCATGTGTTTAATATATTTTCCGATATATGAGGAACAAATTTATTTCAACACCTACACTATATAATAGAAATTCTATAAACACTTTATGAAAAAATAATCATGTTGATAATGTGGTAAATACATGTTAATCATGCAGAATGTATTAGACTGTAAAAAAAAAGTCTGAAATGATCAATGCTTAGTTAAAACTTCATGACACTTCTTGCTTATGAAATGAACAATTTCTTTGTTAATTGCTCTCGTTTTCTGCCACCACAATTACGCATTCAAGCAAATTTTTTTTATAAATTGTCTGGTTGCAGTTTACTTTTATGAATATGTATTAGTCTGTCTCATATTCCTTGTAGGCTGATACAACATTTACCCTTATCTCAGACTAATTTGAGCTTTTGTTTTGACATGAAAAACTATTGCCTTACAGGGACAATATCTGCATACTTCAGACTTTCTTCAACAAGAGATAAATACATTATCCGCAGGATGCTGATATTATTGTGATGTACAGCAATAATCTAAGCGTTTTAAGCTATTAGTATAAATTGCATTGTTTTTCCCCCCACAGGTTAAAATATATTCAATCCTGTAAAAGCACAGTTGTTTATATTTTTGTTGTTCCCATTGTACTTCTTTTGGACTTTGGTCATTGGAGGAGCGGGGAAACTAGACCTAATTAGAACTTTATTTTAAAAAAAAAAAGAATTTTTATTTTAAAAGCAACATTGTTATTGTATAAAATAAAAAAGGCACTGTTTTTGCAGAACATAAACCAGCGGTCTTCCTTTTTAATGTCATAGCCAGTCAGACAGACCCACAGACTCTTTGTTAACTTTGCAGAAGATGGTAATTTATTACAGTTATGTCAGAGCAGTACATTAAGTAATATGTTATGAGAATAAAGAAAACTATTAAGAAAATGGTATTATTATGCGTAAACTGGGCAGTTTAAATTAAATAAATATTAATTTAAAGTACATTTTCAAAGTTATCCCCAAATCTAGAGGAAAGGGGAAATCTAATGGGGACATTTGTTCTGTGGGTAACTGTCCAAGAGGGGCATTAAAGAGGAGCTACATTTAAAAAAAAAAAAAAAGGTTCAGCACTTCACATTCATAAACATACAACCATCAGTTTAACTACAAACAAAAACTGTCTTAGTGTTTAATCGTGATATCACAAACCAAGGTGTACATAAGTCCATATAAAGTCCCACACCAATTTGTACCAATTTTGCCAAAGCATATGAATTCTTCAAGTGCTTGATAAATTATTTCATGCAAATCCTCTTGTGCTCCACCACTGTGTTTCACTATAGTACACTCACCGACCATCCATGACCCCTTAGTTAAAAGAAGGTCTATTGCGCTTTGGGTTAACAAGGATCAAAATTTCAGTGGATTCCTTCTTCTCATACTCCCCATTTATTCCCACAATTCCATAGTGGCATGAATCAAAAGAATTAAACTTCTCATGGTGTAGTACATTTATTAAAAATGGAATATTAATAACAGGTATTGCACTCACATTAGTCTTTGCCCAATCATCAGCACTAATACACTCAACTGTATTACAACAATG